GCTGATGCCCTTCTTCATCTTCCAGTCCAGATCTGTCACCTGTGGATGCTGGCGCTGGACCGTCGCAACGCCCATGCCCTGCTCGACTACTCTGTCACTGCTGACCCCCGCATGTTGCTGGCAGTGCAGAGGCACCTGGCTGCCTCACAGGATGAGAACGGAGACACGTGAGTGCCCAGAGCTGTGGGCCCAAGGAGGGGCAGGGTGGGAGAGTGCTTGAGCCCTGCTGGCCCTGTCAGAGCCCTGCGCCATGGGGCAGAGGCAGCGTTGCAGGGGATTTGTGGGGTGAGGCATCCATGCCCATGGGGAGGATTTAAAGAGATGTGGAGCTGAGACAACGGTTCTCTCCTCTCTTTTCTCAGGCCTTTGCACCTTGCTATTATCCATGAGCAGACAGGTGTGATCAAGCAGCTGATTGAGGTGGTTGTTAGCATTCCCAACCAGCAGATCATCAATGTCACCAACAACCTGCAGCAGGTAGAGTTCTCTCAGGGCAATCCATTGCTGTGGAGCAGAGCTGGAGGGACTATCCTCGACCTGGGACTCACTTCCATTTCCATGTCCCGGGTGAGGGTGGAATCTCCTGCCTAGGCCCTGTGTGACAGGCATAGGGAGTCAGCAGGGATGAGCATGGTGGGTTGATGATGGCAAAGGGAATGGTGGTGTTGGACTCAGCTTCTGCTGCAAGCGCTCAGGCTGGTGGCATTTCTGTCCTGCAGACACCACTGCACCTGGCAGTCATCACCAAGCAGACCCAGGTGGTCCAGCTCCTGCTGCAAGCTCGTGCTGACCCTACCTTGCTGGACCGCTATGGCAATTCCCTGCTGCATCTGGCACTTCAGACTGGCGATGAAGAGATGCTGAGGACACTGCTGGCCCATCTGGGCTCAGCTGCTCCTTATCTGCTCTGTCTGCCTAATTTCCATGGTGAGCAAAGCTGGGAGGGAAGCCCAAAGGGGCAGGGACCTGGCACGGTGGGGAATGGAGCTATTGAGGCCTTGGCCGGAGGCCACTGAGCCTCCTGCTCCCTATTGCAGGCCTCCTACCTGTGCACCTGGCCGTGAAAGCAAAGAGTTTGCCCTGCCTGGACCTGCTGGTCAGGAAGGGAGCGGACGTCAATGCTGTGGAGAGGCAGGGTGGAAGGACCCCACTGCACCTGGCTGTGGAGATGGAGAACCTGAACATGGCCACCCACCTGGTGAAGAAGGTATGGGAGGTCCAACCTCCTTTCTCTGGTGTTGGTGACTGTGGTTGAGGACATGAAAGAGGGGGCCAGAGTCTCAGCTAGCCCTGGGGGAGGTCCCCCATGTGCAGGGCTCGTGGGGGCTCTGGTTTAAGGGCTGAGGAGTCTTATGGAGTAGGGGGGACAGGCCAAGGCAGCTCACCCTCATGGCCTCATGGGCTTCCTCGTAGCTCGGAGCAGATGTGAACAGCCGGACCTTTGCTGGGAACACCCCTCTGCACCTGGCTGCCGGCCTGGGCTCCCCTCCGCTTACCAAGCTGCTCCTCAAAGCAGGTAAGCGCTGCCCTCCCTCCCCAAGGGGAACCCCCTGCCCTGGCTAAGCCCTGCCCTCTCGGGGCTCAGGGCAGGGCCCCGGCCATGCCTGCCCCGCTGGTGCACGTCGTGGGGGCTGCATTCTGCAGGTGCTGTATGGCACTTACCAGCCCTGCTGGGAGCTCCCTGGCTGGGCTCACAGCCCTTGGCACGCGGGTGCTGCCCGATGCGCCCTTCGGCGGCTCAGTGCACCCCCTTCCCCGCAGGGGCGGATGTGTCGTGTGAGAACGATGAGCCAGTGAGTCCATCGTCATCAGAAGCGAGCAGCGACACAGATGCCGACCCGGAGGAGCAGGAGCTGGGCATGGAGCTGGAGGAGCCGACTCCCAGCGTGGAGGAAAGCTTGGACCCCGATCCCTCTGCTGAACATGCGTGTGAGGAGGCGAGGCCCACACAGCGCCGGTGCCACACACCCTTGGACCTCACTCGGAGCCAGAAGGTGCAGTGTGAGGGGGTCAGGGCACGGGGGAGCTCGGGCTGAGCATTTACAAGCAGGCTATGGCACATGCAGAGGACAGAGCGCCAGGAGGGCCTCTTGCAAGAATGGCTGGGACAGACCAGGCTTGTCCTTCACCAGGGAGCTGGAGCCAGCCTGGCCCAGCCTTGTCCCCTAGGTAGGGCTGTGGCGTGAGGGCTGCATGTGGCGAGGGGACGTGGGGCCAGGGTTTTCCCTCCAACAGGCTGCTGCAACAGTGTGCCAGGGCTCGGGCAGCAGCCAGCCTCGGCGGGGGAAGCTCACGTGCGTGTGTCTTGCAGGTGCGGGAGATCTTGCTGCAGGCCTTGCAACAGAGCCTCGAGGGCGAGCTGCCTGCCGCCCGCCAGCTAGGTGAGCAGGGCCCTCTGCCCGCACCCGCAGTGGCCCTGGGCATGGGGGCCATGCTGAGGCAGGACAGGACCCCCTCCGGCCAGCAGGGGCCCGGGCACCTTGCGATGGAGGTGCCTTTCCCCTGCAGGGAGCATCCTGTCCCTTGACAGCGAAACGCTGCAGGAATTGGAGCAGTTGTTGAACCAGGACTGCAGTAGTTCGGACTGGACCGAACTGGCCAAGAGATTGGGCTTGTGCAGCTTGGTGGAGACCTACAAGGACATGGCTTCTCCCACCATCAGCCTCCTGCGCAGTTACGAGGTCAGTGCCTTCCCCAAAGCGCCCCTTCCCCGTGCCCCGCAGCCGGCTCCGCTCACTGTCCGTCCCTCCCAGCTCGCAGGCGGCAGCCTCAGGGGGCTGCTCGAGGCACTCGACTCCATGGGGCTCTGCAAGGGCGTGACACTGCTGCACAAAAGGGAGACACTGCAGAAGCTGCAAAACACAGGTATGGGGGTGGGAACGGGGCAGGGGTCCCTGCTGCCCAGCCCT